CAAAAGGCATAGCAGATCCACACGAAAGTTGAAAAAAATAAAACAGCATTTTGATTAAGAGATTTTGTACAAGCTACAGCTTAGCTGAACAATAAAAAACCTCAATGGTTTTGTTGTCTGAGATAGCAAAATAGCCAAAGTATTCTTCAACAAAATGAACTGTCTGCCACGATTTATCTGTACAATTCCATCACAGCTCTTGCCTGTTATGTTATACGTTTCAAAAATATGTCATTAAGCTGCCATAAAAGTCATCACAAATTGTTTTTTCTCCCAAACTGATAATAGACTTATAGATCTAATTTTCAATCTCTTTTCTTCATTACTTTGATTCTTAAGGAGAGTATGACATTTGCTGTCTGAATACTTTGTAGTAATATCTGGCATCTCTACAGCATTTCTGCTGAGGATCTCTGAGCTTTTAATAGGTTTGTCTTTACAGAACCTTGAAACGCTGACATATTTGTTTGTCTCTCTCTTGCAGAAATGGATGGTTAGAAGCAGACTTTTAAAGAAATGGGTTTTATAATTTCATTGACAAACTACAAGACTTTTTGAAAAAAAATGACACAAAAAAGCCTTCTGTGCTGTCAGACATACAATGTAATTAAAATCCTGACCCTTCACAGCTCAACAAGAGCAAAGAACAAAAGTGAGGCATTCTGTTTTTCACTTCAATTTTTTTAACTACATGGACTGTCCTCTTCACGAATCAAGAGACTTCGTAAGTGTTACTGATGACAGAAACAACTAAGCAATTGAAAAAAATACCACCAAATTAAAAAAATCAGATTTTGATTTCTCATGGTGATCTCTCCTTATTTTTTGCCAGTACACATATGAACTTTTTTTGTTCATATAGGGCTTCATATGCATCAAATTAAATTCAGTACTTGAAAATGGCTTTGCTAACGAACTAAATCTATTTGCGACAAAAACTAGGAATAGGCTGTTTTAGCAAGCTGTTTGCAGTGTTAATGAAAGTAACATCATATAGGAAGCGATCTCAAGAGGAATGATGAAAAATTAAGGTGAAGAGGGAGAAACAGAGAGAAGAAACAAGACTTGAAGGAGAGCTGAGAGAACAAACCACATATCATACAGAGACCAGGGACAGTAGTTAAAGGAATCTAAGAATGGGACAGAATCAATAGGTGTGAATTTGTAGCCCTACTAGACAAGTTGCATTTCTGCTCATCACATCAAGAACAGCTACTTCCACCAAAACAAAAAACAGAATAACCATAAAACATCTCCCTCTCTTCCAAAAGCCAAGGTTTTCAGACAGCACAGAGAGTTTCCCTCCCTACTGCTCACATGTCTCATTTGCCAACACCTCTCTGGACAGACTAGCAAAGAAGGCTATTTCCAGTCCCCTAACACAAGCCACCAAACCACTCACACATCAGAGCTAAGCGAGGATGTTAATTCTCACCCTCAAACACCAAAAGACTTGGAAGCCTTTTGGCTTTCTAACATAATGCTTCTCCCCACCACAATACCACAGCTACGGCAAGCAAAGGTGCTAGCTGGCTTGATTGTCTTCCCTTATTAATGGAAGGCTACTACTGACAAAGGGCTTTTGGAATGCCCCAGCCATGAAAACCAGCCCCCACCTGCTCAACTACCAGGTATACTGCAAAGCAATACAAATGGCTAACACGGTAGAGTTTGGAAGGCATGTCTAACAGCTGCCAAGATTAGAAATTTGAAAGCGGTATAGGTCACAGAGTTGGTGATCAAACAATGTATAGGAAGAAGGATGATTTATTTTTGCTTTGGACAATTTTACATTTGCACTCTTGAGTAACTCTTCAGCTGTTGTATTCTTATACACAGATCAAGAGGACTTAAAACTTTAAGATACACTTTTTTGATACACCATGTGTTTGAACCATCAGGAAAACAAACACTGGTTGATCGTATGATGGCTATTAAACACTGACAGATAAATAATAAAGATTTTTAGCTTACTTTGGTTTGTACTTACAATCCCAGAACTTTAACTCTTTCAACAACGAACACAATTTAATCATAATTCTTAATATCAGCTTTGGTGACCACATCTTCCTCAGCCAACAAAAGCAGAGCATTTTATTTGTGTCCTCAGGCATGTATCAACTAAAAAAAAAATCAGATCCTTGTCAGACTAACGAAAGTGTCTTTTATCACCTCACAACCAAAATTTCCAATTGATATGCAGCAACATCCCTCATCCAAGTGACTTCTAATGATGTAGACCCTCTTCCTAAGCACTTGACGAAATACTTAATCACCCTGTTCCAGAACAACAAAATACAGCTCTTACATAAGGCTTTTCAGCACTGATCTTCAAACACTTCACAAAGTTGCCAATATCCATTACCGCTAACCCCAGAGACACATTGTCTTTTACCCAGCAGGTTAATGACAGAGCTAAAAACAGAATCCGTGTCTCAGCCCCAGATGCGTACACTTCTACCATGCCATAGTGCCTCATATTTCTTTGAGAATAACCCAAGTCCAAACTGATATTCAACAGTCACTTCTACTTAAAGAAAACCTAAAACCCTCTATCAACTACCACAGCTTTCATGTGCCGTGTTTCAAGAAATCCAATGAGTTTTTCAGAGCATTTTTTGAGGGTGTGCCTGTACTCTACAGCAGCAGGACACTTCTCAGACTAATTAGCTCATGTGGAGCTTCGTCACTATATTGCTTCTGAGCAAGTTCATTTGTCTTCATATTACATTAAGTAGTGCAGATACACCCTCAGACAAATCAATTTCTCTAGGTAAGGGATACATGCTTGATGAGGCAAAAGCAGTTTAAGAGACATTATTATGAACAAGTGCTCTCACAGTACAATCACTTATATTTCCAGTTGACTCCCAGGTTTAAATTCTTCGTATATCAGAATGGATTTAAATTAAAATGGGAAAAAATGCATTGTTCTGCTCATGTCAGGAAGAGAAAAACAGCAATAACAGCTTAGGTGACATCTGGCAAGGAAAGATGCAAGAGGGTCTTCTCTGCTAGCATGAAGGATCTGCTGTTCTTCAGAATGAGAAATAATAATCTGAATTACAGAGAAGCATCAAAAATCCAAAAATTTGTTTGCATTGGAAACTTGCTTAAGTTTGGCAATAAGTTTGCCACACATTTTGTTTCCACTGAGTGTGTTAAAAAGGTGTTTCTCTTTTGCATCTCTGCTTCCTAGAGCCTGACTGAGAACTCTCAATTACCAACACCCATTTCTTGACTCACTCTGTCTCCGCTGTCAGCAACTACCTGTAAAAATCCTTAACAAAGTATGCATTTTCACATTCCTCCAACACCAGTTTGGTACAGAAGAATTAGAGGTTCAAGCTTACTTTGTCAGTGATTTTTACAATTACTTACACAAGCCTCACATGACAGAAAGTTTCTGTTTGTCAGCTGATATAAAATACACACCACACCACCACCCCAGAAGAATACTAGCATAAAAGAGCAGACCTTAATGGTCAAGAAACTAAAGTACCTCTCTCACTCCTGCACACAAATGCTGTATGATATTGCCTTCAACTAACCAACCACACCTTATTTTTTTCCAGAGGATCTTTTCCTTGTTCTAAGGATAGAACAGAGTGCTAACACTGAATGAGCACTCATTCAATACTTCATTTCATCCTCACTGTTCACTATGTGGCATCTTTGTATAATTTACAGAACCTACCTCTAGAATCATAACTAGAAAACTTCTTATTTCTCTGTTGATCATTATTATGTACCTGAATTATTTCCTTATACTAATGACTCCACAGCGCCTCCATCAGACAATTTTCTTCTTCTTGTTTTCAGGTAGCAAACTGGGAGACAGCGATGTGCGTCAGGATTGCCCATAATTAGTGATGCTTGACTTGAGATGCTTTGGGTCTCTCTTCAGAGGATAGAGCAATTAAACAGCACTTTGTCAGTACAAAGTACAACTTAAATCTATTTCAGTGCTATCATGTGTTTTCAAAGCTGACATTAATCGGTCCCAAGAGTCTGAACTCAGAAAATGAGAAGTACACAACTAATGGCCACATTTAAAAAAAATGATTGAAGTCACTCACCCAACATCACACAGGAGCTCTGTGGCTGAATTAAGATCTGGCTCTAACCCTCCAGAACAGCATCCCAACAGCCCCAGCTTTAAATCCAATCTTTTTTAGTGTTACTCCCTCCCTTCCTCACCTGCTAGGTCTCAGCCACCTTCAGCAGTTATGAGGAAGCAAATCTAAAATAAAAAACCTCATTAATTAGTAGACCTGGATTAATTTCCTAAATACTGTCTACCTGGTCTTCCTGAAAATAGCAAATGTTTTGTGGACAGAGTCTGAAATGACATCAGCATATGCCATTTTAAGACAGAAATATAATGTGACCAAACTGAGTTTGCACAACAACTTCAATACTGGCATTTCCTATCTGTTGAGAACTTTGCATTACACCACTGTCAGAGAGCTCCATGTTCCCAGAATTCTCATTTCATGTAGTCTCGAATAACAATATAAGATTTAAATTTATGTTTGTGTCTCCATCATCTACACTTGCTACATCTGCAGCTTCAAGCTTGAGGAACTCCTACTATAGGGCCTCTTAATACTAAACACCATCCAAGCAATCAATGCAAGGGCAGATCTTCACCACAAAGCTAATGGTCTATGAGATAACCAGTACATAGCATACGAACATCATATGCTTAAGAACGACAAGGCAGCAACAAGCAGAAATCTCCCAACACTCATTTCCATCAGAAACCTTTCTATCACCTCAGAAAACTAAGCTTCTTTCAGTTTGACCAATGACTGCAGATAACAAACCACTATTTCCCTTGTTTGACACTAACACAATACCCAAGCTTTAATTCTAGAATTTTTTACAAACCATAAAGACATCACATTGCAGTCAGTGTTTTGCCACATGAGTTCATCATAAATATTTGTTTGATCTTCCGTTCAAAAAAAAGCACTCAAACCAAAATGAAAACTCACCTCATTTCCACCAACAGCTTTGGTTAATATTACTGCAGAAGACACAGGAGGTGGCATGCAGCCTACTGTCTGCAAGCTGAAAACAACAAAAAGAAATGTTACATTCCTCACATGATGTAAACACTATACAACCTAATACTTTACAACAACAAACAGCTGAGTAGAAACAACCATCACCTGCACAACCCAATCAGTTTGCTTTACAGTTACAGCCCTGCACCAGCTGGCAGGATTTCTATGCCATCTCTTACCAGCCACCACAGCGAAGGGTCATGACACCATTTAAAAACCCAAACACTTAACCTCTCTGTGACTCCATCTCCCCATCTATAGTACTGTACCTACCCTTCACAAAGATATCTACACATCTATCACAAACAAAAGTGCATCACATATGCTGATGTAGTAAAGTTTGTAGTGTGTTTTGAGATACCTGTAGCTATTTGGTAAAAAAGAAAATAAGGCTGTAAACTACTATTTTCTAGAAAAAGCTGTTCAGTGATAAAAGCATTTACTGCTAAGTAGAGGAGTAAGAAGAACCATGCTCACTACTTAGGGTTCCCACTAGACTGTTCTTCATCAACCCCTACTAAGAAAAAAAAAAAAATCACAATTAAGCTTTTTATTTCCTGAACATTAAAAGGCCATCGAATGTTTAATTTTTATGCATGTTTTCACGTCTTGGTAAAATCACCTGACTTCCATTAATCAAAACATTGAAAGTTTTCTCCTGCATTTCAGAAGTCTAAAATACCCTATTATTATTATCTGGCATTTTTTCCATTGTTTGTGCAACAAAATTACCAATGTATATAGTAAATGCTGTTGCAAAGTAAGAAAGAAAGTGGTGAGCTTTCCTTCATTTTCAAAGACAGTCCACAAAAACTGGTTATTACAGAAATTATTTGTATCAAATGTGTATTTAGAAACAACAAGAACATACCTTAGATTACAATTAAATTTGGTGCTAAGTAAAATAGGGCTTCTGAAGAAAAACTGTGTTGACTTAGAAGGAACAGTAAGGCACGGAATAAAATAGTCTACCTCAAAAGCATGGAATTTACATCTGTTTTCAAGTACTGGAGTTTGACACAGTGTTCTAGTTCAGAACAATCAATTATTAGTGGTGAACTACTTCGCACTTGTAACTGTGTTAGTTCATCCCCAAGAAACGCCATGTCAAAAAGCTGTAGCAAACAGAAGTATTAAATCCAAATAATAGGGAGCATATTACAGTGCAATTGATACGCTGCAAATATACAAAAAGCTTAAATAGAAGAAACAGATAAATGACAATGACGATATTCAGTTTGTCAGCTACAAACACTGTGGAAAAGGAAAGAGGCAACAAATGTAAACATCAGATAAACCCAATCACAAAGTGCCAAGCACCACCTTGGAAGTATATAGTAGCTTTAGCTTACAGTGAAGTAAGCTATAGAAACAGAAAGTTGTCAGCACATAGCAGGATAAGCTCATATTGAAAAGGAAAGAAATACAGGAAAAAGAAATGGTGTGGAAACATTTGGAAATACATATGAAAATATACAGCAGACAAACACATGGTGATTCTGATGTCCATCCCCTACATCAGCTGGGATACTGTTATCTCTCTTCTATGTGGTCTCTTGGCAGCCAGCTCCTTGCTTGAACTTCTCACCTGCACTAGTAAGGGGTAGATTAAGTTCAAAGTTATCGAGAGATGTATGAAATGTGTGCAAGGGCATTCATCTCAGCTGGCAGGAATTTTCCACACTATAAGGGAAAGGTTTAATAACACAATCTCTGTGAAACCTCTCAAATTTAAAGTAATACAATTGGAATTAAAAAAAACACTCACTAACTATGGTTTTAAGTATTCCTCACATGAAAATATTAATCTACAAAAAAACCTGGTACACACTAAATCAAAATACTTCCGATCAGCTGTATTGAAACATGAACCTGTGAGCTTTTTTCTTGCTTTGTATCAACTACACACAATACTACCAATATACAAACAAATTCCTCTAAAGGCCAGCAGATTACTACAGATAACAACCAACAAACTGAAACATTCCACTGGCTCAGGCCATGCTATAAGCACCAACATCAGGCGTCCAAACACTTGCTGATGTGATAAATAATACCTGTTCTGCTAATACATTACAGACAACTGACTAGCAGGGTTCAAAGTCATGTATTTTGAGATCTAGAACTACCAAAGCCATATCTTGTACCAGATTTTTGCATCTTGTGCCTTACCTCATACGCTGTAAATGCTATATCCTAAGAGTAACAGAAGAGGTGAATCTCTGCAAACATTAACCACCTGCTTCGTGCTCCTTTTCCAAGGGATGCCATCAATGCAAAACCTAGCCAGCTAACAAAAAACTAGCTTAAAAGATGCTTGGGATTATGTCAGTTTCTCCTCTATTTTATACATTTCAAAATAATTGCAAAGCAACAAACCTCCTAATATCATCCGAGACAGAGAGGGGAAAAAAAATAAACCCAACTGTAGAAACACAGATGAAAAGCTAGTACTATCTGAATCTGCCTCTCAAATAACATTCACAGCAAAACAGACCATTCTAGAGGATGTGAGAATCTACCATTCATTCTGAAGCAAGATGGGAAACTAGCTGTGGAGTTGACTGTGCCCTTTAGGCATAACCTTGTGCAGAGAGCAGTGGAGAACTACAGTCCCCAGGGGACTGCCAAAGGGCGCTGCATGCCCTTGGGAGCATGTGCCTATTTTTCCAGGCCCTTGTAAGGACTATCAACTACCTCTCACTACAAGCTTTGCTAAACATGCATGATGAGGAACTAACTTTGCAGAAGCCTGTCTTGTTCCCCCTGTTCTTATCAAGGGTACTTCAGTGTTTCTAGGGAATAAAAACTACAGCTGCAGGGCATCAGGATGAACTTCGGGATACACAGGGAGGCCAAAGCACTGGCAGTTTCTCACATCGGCTCCTCACTCTCTTTTCACATACCCGTAGAGGGACATGCAAGTACCTGCTTTAAAATGTGTTATCCTAGAACTAGGACAGAGCTCAGTATCTTATTCAGCTGCATAGCACTGAAGGTACAGGTCTCATCAGGCTCCTTTTGCAGTGGACGCCTTCAGAGCCACACTACAGCTGCTGCTCCGAGCACATCCTGAGCAGCAGTATTTATCAAGAAAGCACTCTTTCAAAAAACAAACAAACCACCTTCATTAAACTCTTCAATCTGACCATTCTTTGAATAAAGTCTCAATACAACGGAGTCATTGCACTAAAAGATAAAACACAGCCAAAGCAGAAATAGTACTGAAGGAACAAGCGCTCGCAAGGCAGCTTGAAACATACAGAAGTACACTAGCTCACTGTAAAACACAGACACACCTTCATGAAAAATGAGGCTGGTTTAGGCTCCACGTTTAGGGAGATACACATACAAGTGTCTTTTTTTTTTTTTTAGAGAAATATACATATGTAGTTTTACATGCAGTTTCACAGGTGTGTACATATACACATACATATACACTTGGGTGTGTAACAGATCATGTCCCTTAAATACTAAGAACCAAAGTGGCATGAGAGTCATAGGAAAGAAGGGATGAGAAGTGCTGCAAGGAACAAAACCCACAAAAACCTCTTCCACCTTGCACTTCAGAAACTGAGACTCCCATGGATTAAGAGAGAATTTTGGTTCACTGTGGAAAATCATGTCTCTGTTCTAGCTGAGGAAAAACTTCACAATTATTTTACTTTAAAGAATAACCTTTACTATGCATAGCCAAATGCAAATGGACATTGTATAGCAACCTTATCATTTCCTTAAGGTACTAATCCTGTTAAGCAAAACAGTGCTAACTGCTAAATGATGTCGTCTCAATTTCACTTTCTCAGTATCATTTGGACCACTTCACACTTGGAGGAACACCTGGAGAAGCCTCTTAAAAACAAACTAAAATGCTCTTTTAGGTTTAGGCCTTGTAAAAACATAAACATAAGCAGCTTTATCACTAAACTTTTAAGACAGGGAACTCTCCTAAAGCAATGTTTCACCAAGCAGTAACAAACAACGGGGATTCTTTAAGTAGTTTTCTGAAAGAACTGATTTTTGCATTTGAACATTCCAGTATAGCAGCATGGCAGTTAGGTATTGACCTTTGATTCTGAAAAAAGCTTTTCTTTTTTTTTTATTTTTCATAACATCTATCACTACTGCAGCATCAATGCAGCCTTGGAAGCACACATTGGCAGAGTACACCAAAGACTTAAAATACATTGTTTTCATGTTAACGCACACTTCTGCTCATCTCAAACTTCTACTCATACATAAACTTTACTCCTTTTGGTTTTCCATAATTTAGCTAGGAGCAGACACTGAGCTCCAATCTGGACACATGCGAGAGATGCTCAACAGAGAGTGTTTAAAAACAGAAGAGAACACCAGTATGTGGCATACACAGTACTTATTCACCATCTTACGTTTTTCCTGAAGCATTCCTTTTCTTTCCTCCCCATCCTCCTTGAGACCCAGCACAGCACTTCAGCTGTGTTTTGTGAAAGAGAAAGCTAACCTATTGCAAGTTCCCTACATATGAAACTAACTGACCAGACTTCCTAAAAATGAGATCGGGTTCCTGAAAGGATAATCTTGTCCATGTACTTTGTTTCTGACAGCAAAGTGCTGAAGCACAAAACAACCAGTAAAATCTGTTCACAAAACAAGTCTTAAAACACCCACTGCAGGATAAGCAGCTCTTTAAGAAGACAGCTACAAATATATTTCACTCTATTATGCATAAACATACCCTTTTAAAAGCCATTCATTTATAGGTGTGATTGATAACAGCTGAAGAAAGAGCCATATTGCTGTTGGGAAGAACACAAGTGTAAAAATCTGGACAAAAAGGTGTAGTTTCACATGCATCAAAGCATTTGTCAGCTCCTGCAAAAGAAAAAGAAGAGAGGAAGTTGCAGTCATAACAGCTGAAATAAGATCAGGTTTGTGCTTTTAAAACTAGGATCATCTTTATAATACAAAGAGAGTGCATGTCAAAAAGGCACCTTTCGGGATCATCGGATCTCCTCTTTAATAATGAAGTACATCCAGACAACATAAAAGCTCTGTCTGCTCCTGGGCATTTTTCCAAAAGAATTGTCCACCACTTTAATAATACTGTAGCTCTCATAACAGTAGCTTTTCAGCAGGCAGCCTTAGCACTTTGTCACTGCTTCAAAACCTGTGTTAACTATGCTGATGGCCTGTTTACTTTATCAACCTCTGCTATCAAGAGGAAGGGAAACTTTTAGAATCCATGTGATTTTAGGTTTCTCTAGTCTAAAGAGAGCCACAAATTGTGACTCTCATTTATAGAGTGAAAAAAGGATGTTTACATTACAGTCATCCTGTGTGGTACGTTTGTTTTAAGGGAAGATTAACAAACATAAAAAGCAAAGTAATCTGTAGCAGATTTTGATTATTTATTGTATCAACAGATAGGAAATTTACAGTAAAAAAAAAAATAGGCTGATGAAGAATAGCAAAGAAAGAATACCAAGACCATAATAAACTAACAACAGCTAAGCCACAAAATTCAGAGAAATAAAGTGCAAAACACCACTGAAGACTGAGAAAACAAAAAAATAATAATGTTAAATAGTGCAAGAGCACTCCACAGACGTGATCAAGTATCCTTACGCAACAAACTCTTCTGTTAGCTCTCTCTGTTTCTGTCTTTTTGGGCACTCCAAGGATCTTCTACACAGTTTTTGAGTACAAGGAAGAAGCTTTGTACATTTCAGCTCATTTCAACTCTCATATATTGAGAAGAAAAATTCCTTTTCTTCTCTCTCAAAATAACTTACACTCTTTTCACATAAACAATGCAACAGGAAACGAACCGATGGCACTTTTATTCAAAGCCTAATTTGCTAGGTTTCTCCAGCTATCTGACACTCCAGATGCGTTTTAAAAAAAAGAACAATATAAAAAAGTGTATTTCCATGTACAGCAATGCCGCAGCTGATCTTCAAATGCCACCCTCTCTCAGCATCAAAACAGCTGAACTTCAGTGAAGCATAATCAAATACTGCATTTTCAACCATCCAAACGCACACTGATGTAATTATACACCTGGAAGTACTAGCAAGTCAGCACCATGTCCTTGTTACTTTATTTCTCTTAACAAAAATAATGTCCCAAATTTGAGATAGGGGAAAAAACACCTTCCACAAAAAAATACACATCCATTCGTATCCTATTCTTAAAGTTATACAAAACATGGACTTGATCCAGTTTTACCAAGAAAGTATCACTACATTCAGTGTTTGGTTAACTGAATGAAACAACATTTTCTCAAAATAATTAAAGCTCTTAAGCAGGCTAGTATCACTCTGCATGAAAAAATAGGCCTTCTTCACACATAACCTGTCACAGCACCTATGGCATTATGAATAGCTTCACTGTAGTATTATTTCATCTTAATAAAACATGTAGTAGTAAAAACACATCCTGTGCAGGAAAAAAAGATACCTGGAAATACCTATATAAAAGTGTACGTTTTAAAAGTACATAATACAATTGAGCAAAACCAAAGCCTGGGACTTCTTTCAGCAAAGCCATTAATTCCTCCTTCTTTCCTGCCAAGTCACGTCCAGCCCAGATTTCCCAGTGGACCAACCTATGAAGGCATCCCCAATCAAGACACCATCACATATATAGAAGTGCTCTTTCAATTTAGTGTTTTTACAATTGGAAAACATCTTAAAAACAGATGACTTGAAGAAATCTGTGATACTTCTGAAAGCAAAATCCAAGATAAAAACTTGTGAAAGACTGGTTAGAGCTTCCAGGGAGCAAGGAAGGCAATTACAACACAGCTGACCTAACGCATGAAGCAATGCTGTATTAGTGGAACAGGTCTTTGTGGTCTTTAAAGTGTCTCTAGCAATTGCCTTTTCAAATTCCTTAGACTGTATCATGATAGAATAAACACTGAGGCAAACTGTCTTCACCAATGTACAAGGGCTTGTCCCAAAATACATCTGTCACTGTAATCCCCAAAAAAGCAAAAGTCTCAAAAGAGTCTCAAAAAAGTTACTGGAAGCTGCTAGTTATGACTGTTTTTGCACACCAGACAGAACAAGCTACCTTGTCTTTCCCGGTATTTCAGATCCTTTAGAGAGATTATCCTAGCCTCTCGCTGGTCAGTGTGGGTCCCTGTTGCCACCCAGCCACGCTTAGATGGTCACAGCTAAATGGGCAAATACCCACACAGAGCAAACAGTGTTTTCAGTGGCTTGCCAAATTCCTCCCAGAAATGGATAACTCAAGTATGTGATTTAACTTCTGGGGCCCCTACAGGAGGTATCTGCTTTAAACCAGCAAGCTATCCAGTCACCGTAAACTGAAAGAGCATTATATTAAGGTGGAATCAAATGTTCTTGTCATCTCTGGACACAGACTATTTCTATAAGTGTAAGAGGACCTCAATCACCTCCAGATTTCAAAACATAACAAGGCCACGCACAGACAGGCTCTCCCTGAACGTTGCCAATTATTTTGTAAAGCACTTTCTGAATGCACGTTAGCAAATATTTTTTTTTTTATTATGCGCTTTCACAGCAGATAAAACCAGAAGTGTAACCTTAAAAGAGCACTGGCTATTCCTAATTTTGTCATGTTTATGAGAAGGCCTCCGTTAACACTTACACAACCTTTCATCATTTCGTAAAGCATACCGAACACTAGTTCCGATCTAACTAATATATTATCCAAGGTAAAACAGCCAACACACAGGTCAAGAACTAATAAAGACAAAAGCAGAAACAATTTACTTTGCAATCCAATAAAAAGATATATTAACTGACTAATAATACCAGCTTTAGGTTGTGCCTTAAATAATTAAAACATGCCCTGAAGTATTTTAATAGCCATGATCTAGCCTTCTAACACATTTAAGGATTGTTTTTAACCCACATTTTAGAAAGTAACAGCACAAGGTACAACGAGTGAAATGTTTCTCTTCCTCTTCATCTTCTACCCCTATGGCAAAAATTCAGAAGAGGCTTAGCTTCTTGACAGAACATAAAGCTGGATGTACAGCACTGGTCCTAACTGATGCTTCCAAAACAATTTGAGATCAGCTACTTGGACATAAGCATCAGCTCCTGAAAAAGCTTCATTTACATCAATGTATTGCTTTTAGAAGCACAGATGAAGAAAAGTTATGCAAGTCCAAAGCAGGCCATGACAGGTTGCCCAGGAACGTGTCAGTCATGTCACCTTAACGGGAAAAAGTTAGACGCACACTAACATTGAGAATCTAATCAGGACTTTCATAATGCTACTGATTTCACTCTCATTCACAGCTGCTTTACAAATATAAAGCTTCAAGGATACAAACTAATGAAAGGGATAGAAGTTTTACATTTTTTCTCTGCATGTAAAGATTCCTAGCCCTGCAAGCAGAAAACTCCACTCCATTAGTACTACCCAGGCTTTGTGTTTCGGGTCCTCTTCTCTGTGGAAGAAAGTGCCTCTCCGCAGCCTATTTACCCTAGGATTAATTATTATCCCAGGCAAATAGATAACATGGTTCTTCCTGCTTCCCCTTAAGACCACAAGGCTCTAACCAGCTGCTACAGAACTGACTAAAGTTATTCACTTCAGCTATACTGTGTTCTGGCAGAACTAGAGGCCCTAGTGCCAGAACTGCCAGTAAGGAGAGGGCTGCTACCACTTCAGACACCACCTCCATTTGAAACTTTATCACTATAACCATGATACAGGTATAGAAACTTGTTTTTTGTTGAATGCACGCTGTTCATCCAAATCCCAGTTTGCTCAGAAGATAACTGGACAATATCATGACGATTCTTTTAGACATTAGTATCATGCAACATATGAACGTCATCACCTTTTAGCACAGTCAACAGCGTAAAATTTATCAAGAAACTAGACTAGCAGAGACCTGCAGCATTTCACTCCAACTCTAGCTGCTGCTCCTTCTCTTCTTGGCACACAGCCATCCTTTCCTCTCTCCACGCCTCCTTTACATGTCACTAAGAAGTTCTCCCCTTTATCTCTTTTTATGCCCAGACTGTTCCTCTTCGGAAAATGTGTGACAAGAAATTTGAAACAAGTCTCGGTGTCCATGATATGCAGCAGAGAGCAGGCACTTCAAGTCCACCTGTCCATAACTAAATCCTATAGGAGAAGATTGCCAAGACTTTGTACCTGTACATTGGCCATGCATCTGCAGAGGTACCCTGTTGCATTGATACTAGCTGCTGTCCCGTGCCTACCCAGTGTGGTAATTCAAAGCCACCAGATCTTTGTTTGCACCAATCCTGTAGCGACTAGCCCAAATAGTTTTAGTTAGCGCACCAGCAGGTGAGATAAGGGAGAGAGGCACAGAAAGTGCACACCTTTTCATGTCCTACAGAGGCATGAAGACTCCACATAGCCCCTCTCTGTCTAGTTCCCTACAAAGTTCTACCCTAGGATTCACACAGCTTTCTAGCCTGTGTCTCAACTGAGCAGCGGGGAAGCCAAGGTGCAGAAGGGGTTGCAGAAGGCAGGTGCTAGTGTGCTCCTGGATCTCACCCCGATTTGGGTTTGGGACACATCCAGGGACTAGATCCAGTCTCCGAACTGTGCTTAGCATTTCCATTTAGTCAAAGCCCTGTAAAATCAAGCAACCCACTCTCTATGGATGGGCGAAATTTACTCACACTCTCCTTCTCATCACGTTCATTACTGTGTGAAGAATTTTCTGAAATCAAGGAGGGGTTATTCCACAAATGTCTAATATTTCTCTTCTCTTGTTAGCTATTCTCCCAGCATCAACAATTACAATTACATTAAATTACAATTCAATTACATTCAAACCTGACCAAAAGCAACACAAAACTTTTTAAAGCAAAACAAGAATGAGGCAATGAGAAATTACAGTACCTCAGTTTTTAAGGAGAGTCCACTGTTAAAGAATATAGCTGAAACAGCAATGTAAGTTATGGTAATTTCTGGTTTCAAGGGTCCTAAAAAATATAGACATAGAGAACAAAGTCAACTACAGTTAAAGAGATAACAATATGCATATATTACACTGCAGTAAATAAGAATAACTAGCAAAATACCTGGAGAAAATCTAATCATGAAAGTCTCTAATAAACAGAATGGGACTTCTATTAAGTTACAGAAGCATGCTATTTTTAAATAAAAGCAAACCAGTGAGTGGAGAGTGAGGTGTGATGTCATAGAAATTTGGCTTCCGTGATTACAGGCCCCTGGGAACTAACAGGTAAATTGTGGAAACATGAAAACAGGAAATTTTCACAGTTCTGTCATCAGAGTATCCCTATAGCGTCAGCAAACTCAAACTGTACACTCAGATAAAAACATTAGCTGCTCCCTCCACAGGGCCACTGGTATCATTCACATATCTACCTCTCACTTCTCCCACAACACACACCCCTGTCTCGCTGCCTGCACAGCAGAAACCAAATCGCACCTTGCAATGATTTCCTTGGGGCAATACAATCGTGCATTATTCCTCCACAAAAGGGCTGTGGCAAAATGGTTCATTCCAGCCCTACAATAACACATTTCAGACACACCGCTGCAGTGAGATCAGTAAGGGCAGATGCCAACACCTCCAAGGCTTCCACTATATTAAAGGCTTACATTTGTATATACTTTTTTTTCAGGGAGATTGAACTGAAGTATTTTTTACACTCCTATAAAAATGACAAATTCTCTTAATACACTTTGCCTTCGGAGGCCACCAAGCACAAAATGTATATACACATTTTTTTTCACAAGTATTCAACCAGTTATTATATTAGAAAGAAAATATTAGCAAGTCTACTTAGGACCCAAGTAATCACCTAACTCTGTGAGTGATCGTAAGTTGTCATGAGTAAAACTGCAGCAGCAAGCAAGCAAGCCTTTACTCAACACTTCAGAAGAGAAGATCCTTTCTGCTCTCTCAGATGAATGATATATTGATGGTTACACTGGAGCAAGGCCAATGATCCTTAAATCAGAGGGATTTGATCACTGAGTCTAATCAAATTCGCATCTCAACCCATTTAAACCCAAACTCTACTCTCAGAGAGAAATCTGTTGATGAGACACTAAAACTGTGTGTGTTAAATACAAAAAATAAACCAAACAACGTATATGAACCACAAGGTAAAAACAAGCCAGGAAATGCACGAGTTAAAGCTGCAACAAAGCACATGGCTAGTT